CTCTGGGCAGCCTGGTCTGCTGGTTGGTGACCTGCACATAGCAGGGGGTTGGAACTGGATGAGCATTGTGGCCCTTTGCAACGCAGGCCATGATGAAGAACTAATTACAGTTGTGCAGAACTAAATCCATGTGTGTTTTTTTTGTTTCAGATAATGCCATTCAGAAAGTAAAACACCGCTTTAATTACATGAGTGGCTCTGCAATGAAGGTCAGCTGGGAGAAGGTGGAGGGGGAGCTGAGGTTGCAGCCCCCTGTTCAGCTGAAGCTGGAGGATGCAGAGCTGATGAATGGGATGGCTAATGGTGGGCATGCAGGAGTGCATGTGGAGGTTGGTAAGTTACTGCTGTGCACAGGTGACAGTAGACTTGCTGAACCTCACCCTGCAAGTGACAGCAAAGCGTGCATGAAAGCATGCAGCAGCAGTTGTTCGTTTGCACTGGGAAATAGATATAATGTGTATGAAATGTGGTAGAAAAGCCTGCCTTTGTGCTATGGGGAAGAGCTCATGGCCTTTGGGGCAGGTATGCACTCAGGGTAGTGCTTTTATTTTTTTTCTCAGCCTTCAATAAACTTTCCTTTATGGGCAAGTGCTTATAATTGAGCCGGGCATTTGTGTTCAAGTATCCTGCTTTTAAAGCAGTTAATTGCTGAATTGTATTTGGTAAAAGAAGCTCCTCTGTTCCATTGGTCAGTGCAAATTCAGTTAGAAGATAGTAATTACCATCTCATTAGGTTACTTCAGCCCCAAGGAAGCCCAAGCTCTGGGCAGCCTGGTCTGGTGGTTGGTGACCCTGCACGTAGCAGGGGGGTTAAAACTAGATGAGCACTATGGTCTTTTTCAACCCAGGCCACTCTGTGATTCTATGAAGGAAAAGATTTAGGAGAATGTGTTTGAGCTGAGGGTGAAACGCTCATTCTCAGACTGTCCATCTTGTTGTTCTCCCATCCTCATTTTCTGCTTTTACTCTTTAAAACTCAGAGCATCTGACTAAAATTCTGAAAGGTGAGGTTCACGTCTACATGACACAGAGGGAATTTTCTGTAAAAAATGCTGACACTTTTCCTGCTTTTGAAAGTGCTGCCCTCTGTCTCATGATTATAAAGTTAGCTTCGTCTTGTTTGTGGTTCAGTTCTGTGATCCAAGTCCTGCTTATTTCCTCTGCAAAATAAAATGATCCTAATCCCATTAGCGTTATGGTTAAATACAACTACGGTACCATGAGCTTTTATTTCCTCTTTTTTGTTGTTATTCTTGGCTTACAAAACGCTAATAACATTAAATTCCAATTGCCCAGTCTTCATGTTTCCGATGGATGGACTGGAATCTGATTTGATGTAGGCATTTGTAATGGATCCGTGACCAGGAGGAATTAAAAACAAATTAAAACATTTGGTTTAGGAGTCAGACTTGTGGGTGTGCCTCCAAACCATGTTTGGAGGTGAAATACATTCATGATGTGGCAGGGCTTAGAAATTATTTGCACCAGTGTGAACAATTTCAGTGCCAGTAAGCACATGCTAGCTGATCTGTGTCCACAGAGCAGAAATTTGTTTTCACTTCCTCCATATTCTTAGTTGTTTTCTTCTATTTTCCATCTGCTTTGTCTTGATGGCTTTTTCTCTGTGGCCAAACCCAAATGCTCAAATTGTTCTATCCTTATTTTAAGGCTTGTGTTGGTGATCATCTGTTTCCATCAGCTGCAGTCAGCTTTCCTGGTTTATTTCTCTCTCACCTCTCAGTGCTGAATCCCACTTAGCAGCTCTAAGTTTAGCTGTGTGCATGGTGTCTGTTTCCTAATTAGTGTTATTTATATTCAGGTTCTGCTAGACAAGGGACTTGTTGAGCATACACCAAAGTGTCCTGGTTAAAGGAGAGCAATATTAAACATTCTATACTGAAGATGAATCCCAGACTGATCAAAACATTGGTCTCCTCACATGGCTGTAGCTCCTGCCTTCCTTTTAGCTGTACAATCACATCCTCTGGCTTTTCTTCATCTTAGTGTGAAAGGAGTCTGAAAAGTCAGGGCAGTTTTGTCTTTGTCACTGTATAGATAGAATACAAAGGGGTTTTTGTCATTTTCCCTTCGTTTTCTTCATTCTTTTGTTAACTAAACCCAGCCTGCTTCCTTCTGGAAAGACTTAACCTTGTATTGTTTGTCAATAAACATCTGCACAACCTCAGCTTTTGTTGCAGCAGTCTAGCCCTGTGTCTCTGTATTAAGTGTAGCTCATCAAACTTTGCAGGCAGGGGGGTGTGGATATAAAAGCAATGTGAAATGTAAGTTTTTTGGTAAAAACGTGATAAAATCTGCACCCTGAATTGTAAGAACTTTGCCCTGGCAGAACCCATTTCACTCATTCTATGCAATTTACATTTGTGGATTAAACCTCAGAAGGGCGTAAAGCCCCACAGCAATTTAAAGATCAGTTTGCACAGACTGGCATCTCTAATCTGTGATGGCAGTTCTTTCTATCCTGCTGAACAAAAATGTAACTTGTGTATCATATTGTGTGTTCTTGTCTTCAGCCTGCAGAAGCAATACATTGCATTGCTCTTCTCTGAGGTCTGAGAACTCTTGACATGTGTTATTTGCAAGATCCTGTACAAAGAATGGCACTTGTGCTTGATGGCTTCTCTGTGGAAGATGCAGTCTGCCTCTAAAGCAAATCTTAGCAGCTTAGGGAGGAGATACAGTAGCCTTTATCAGGAGATTTCCATGAGATAAATCCATAGCTGCAACATTATCTAATGTATGGAAAATGAGAGGAAACAGTGCTGCAGTCAGTGTAAGAACAAGCATGCTGGTACAGCTTCTCTTAAGTGTTTTGCTTGGACTTTACATTTCATTGCATAGCAAAACAGCAAAATTGCCTTTAAATGATTGGATTTCTTGCATCATTTATTTAGATGAAAATGTGTGTGACTGTAATACACAGTAATACTAAATAATGTGGCATATTGCAGGCAAGATTAATACATTTTCTTCTGTAGCAGTTTTGGGGCTGAAATTATGGAGGTACGAATATGTGTCGCACAAATTAATTTCATAGGCATTTATAAGAGATCATTTATATCCTTGTGTTAATTTGGCACTGAGATTTTTACAATCCATCAATCAAAATCTCCCTTAAAGGAGAAGACAGAGGTATTTTCCTCTAAGCTGTGCAGCAGGGCGGTGCTTCAGCAGTTGAAGTATTTCATCTGCCACCGAAGCAGAGCTGGAATCGATCTCTGCTGTGTTATGTAGTTTACCTCCAGTAGTCAGGAGCTGTCTGCTTCTGGATAGAAGGCAGAAGATCCTGAGACAGGGGAAGCTTCTTGAGGGCTCCTTCATTTTGTCCTTTATCTCATGGATGCTGGTGCAGGAGAGCATCTGGATTTGATACTTGAGGTGCAAATTGCCCTTACTATGCTTAAAGTGTTCTTGTGGTGATGCAAAGATAGAACGTAGCAAGACATGTGGGTGTAGGCTAATGTTGGACTGGCAAGGATAGCTAGGTTGGGAAATAGGTGAGTTTTTGGTCAAACGCAGCCCTTAATTAGAAGTGCCACATTCCACAATTAAATGCAAATCAATAGTAATTGCTTTGACCTAAATTAGGTATGAAACAATTAGGTCATCCTGAATAAATAGTATTGGGTGCTTGTGTGTTAGAGAACATAATAGTAGTGGAGGAGGTGAGAAGGGAGAGAGAGCTAGTTTGCTGCTTCTGGAATGTAGGCCAGTTCCAGACAGGGAAAGAAAGGAATTGCAGTGCAGTGTAAAATAAGCAGCAGAAGCCAAAATCTGCAACACTCAGTCTGGTTCCTAATCCCTTTTTGGCTGTGTTCTGTCAGCCTGCCCTGAGGACTGGCACTGACAGGAGCAGAGGCAGTATTGTCTGGAGAACTGCCACAGGAACTGTTGTAGCAGCAGATCTGAGTCTTGGGCTTCAGCAGTTGTGTGTTATGTTCTGGCAGCTGCTTAATTAGGGCACCAAATTCCATATTGCATCCAGGTCTGGGGCCCCCAGTGCAAGAAAGACAGGGAGCTGTTTGAGAGGGTCCAGGGGAGGGCCACAAAGATGATCAGAGGGCTGGAGCACCTCCCCTATGAGGACAGGCTGGAGGAGATGGGCTTGCTTAGCTTGAAGAAGAGAAGGCTGCGGGGTGACCTCATTGCAGCCTTCCAGTACCTAAAGGGAGCCTACAAACAGGAGGGAAGACAACTCTTTGAAAGAGTAGATAACAGCAGGACAAGGGGAAATGGTTTGAAGTTGAGAGAGGAAAGGGGAAGTTGTTTGCTGTGAGAGTGGTGAGGTGCTGGAACAGCTGCCCAGAGAGGCTGTGGATGCCCCGTCCATTCCTGCAGGTGTTCAAGGGCAGGTTGGATGGGGCCCTGGGCAGCCTGGGCTGGTATGAAGTGTGGAGGTTGGTGGCCCTGCATGTGGCAGGGGGTTGGAGCTTCATGATCCCTTCCAACCCAAACCATTCTATGATTCCATATAGAAACTAAACTTCAGGATGCTGGACTGAATCCTTGTGCTGTCAGTGGGAAGAAGAATGTGAATGCTGTTTGGGGAGTAGTTGAAGTGCTCTCCTGCTATTATAGACATCAGAAATCTCTCTAACTTATCTACTGACCAGAGAAGAGCGGTCAGTATGTTAATGTGCTGTAATAAACAGTTCAAAAATACCTATATGTAACACAAAAGAAATCAGTGCCAAATGGCTCAAGAACAAATTCTGTTGCTCAATTCATTTTAGAAGTATTCCAGAGCTGACACTGATTTCTAGATGTCCAAAGAACTGAGCAGGGCAGTGCGACAGAAAAGTTGTTCCTATTCGTTATTGGTCTTCTCTGGAGCAAGCATGAAAGGTTTTGAACATCCATGTAAGCTCATTTCAGCTGCTTTCTGTTAAAAGATTCAAAGCAGTGCTTCTAACTTTCACTGTCTCTCTTTTTTCATTCTCTTTTGGTGTGTTTTTTGTGTTTTTTTTTTTTTCAGCCCCTGCTTACAGAATGGAGCGTGTGACCCCCCTGGGCATTCTGTCACTTGTTCTGAACATCATGTGTGCAGCTCTGAATCTCATCCGAGGAGTTCACCTAGCAGAGCATTCCTTTCAGGTAACCCTGACTGACTTGAAAGCTGTCAATGAGATGAAGAAGGAGAGTTACTGGGGTAACCAGGTTAAGGGTGGCTGTTCTGCTTTGTAGCAGAACATACATCTCTCCATAGGAAGTGTTTTGTTTCTCCTCTCCTGCTGGAACTCAAGTATGTTGTTGTCTATCCAGCATGCTGTGCTTTATTCCTTTCTGCTGAGATTGAAATTTGGAGGAATACTTTAGTCTTTCAGAACTGGGTTTGTGATGATTGTTTTCCTTCTTCATTTTGTTCTGGATACTTCTTTGCAATTTCTATTACACAAATGTGATACTGCAGACAGCTTTAAAAAAAGACCAAAAGAAGTATCCTGAAGGTAGAGATGCAGAGTTTAACTTAGCAGGTGTTATCACATAAGCCTCAGCTTTTAGTGCCTTGTTCAACACTATTGATCTTGTTGCTGTTTGGTACTGCTACAATCAATCAAGTTAAACTAGGCTGAGAGATGCTTAATGAAGGATAATATTCTAAAATATGAAGTAGTGCTTGCTAACAACTGTAGTTGATGTAGTTCCTTGTTTGTTGCTTTTTTATCCAAACAGGAGGACTATGAAGGAATTGGAAATGTGGTAGCATTTTTTCTACCTTTTCTAGCCTGTGTTTTTCAGGTATGTTAAACAAGCTGCTTTCTTATCTTTGATATTACAGTTTACAATACAAAATTGTTTCCAGCTAAGCAGAGGCACAGCTTGGTTTTTAGCATCTCATCTAGTTGATTCCACAGAGGTATTCCAGTGAAATGGCACAGCTACAGTTAAGAGTGCCATGTGAGCCTTGGAAATTGTAGTTGCAAGCTTCTTCAGTGTTTCTGTGCTGTTACTGAGCTGAGAGTGACAAGTGCTCACCCAAAGGTGCCTTGTTTCCCAAAGGGATCTCCATGATGTCTGACAGTGGCAGACATAGCTGATAGAATTTTGTAACTTAACCACCATGAAAGGGCAAGCACATGTAGAATAGCAACATCATTAAAAATGTTGTAATTTACACTAAAAGTTATTTTTAATTGCTGTTTGTTGGATCACAATAGATAGGCAGTTGAGTGTCTTTCAGCCTTCTTACACCTCTGTTTATGACAGAGCTTCAAAATGGAGGGAATATTCTGGATCTAAAACTAGATGCAAATCAGTCTTTACAAAGGGAGGCTCTGTCCTCCATTTCTCCTGTTAAATCTGAAGCTAGAGAAGCTTAAAAATAAACAAGTTCACTCTTATCCCTATCTGCAGAGGTCATCTTCACAAAATACTCGTGCATAAATTGAGCTGAAATGTGAAGTGCTTCATGATCTTTACTTGTGTCACTGGCACAGTTGGAAGCTGTGACCATAAGTGTGAAAGCCTGATCTGAATTGCTTTCTGAATTTAAAGTAAATAACTTGTCAGCCAGCAGTGGGTGAGATTTTTAGTTTTCTCCTGTAAGGCTTTGTCTGTAATTAGCAAGTGGGCTCCACCTGATTTTTGAATTAAAAAAGGAAAAAAAAGCCCCAAACACTTTTTGAGCCACACAATGACAGAAATGATGGTCTTGCTATGAAGTCAGCTCTAGAGAAGGAAGAGTTTCAGTTATCCCAAGAGCAAATACAGCAGCAACAGATCAGGTTTTGCTCGTTTCCTGCTTTCTAAGCCTTTGGCTTCCAAAAATCCTTGGTGGGTTTTGCAAGCTGGCTCTAACTTCAGACTCCTTTAGTTCCAGGTTGAGGTAGGTAGGAGGGATTGTGCTGACAGGCTGTATTTGATGCATAGGCTCAGCCAGTGCTGTGGGCTGGGGCTGCTACCCTGCTCTTGTGGAGGAACTTCCTGCATGAGAGCTGAAAGGAAGCTCTGAGCTTCTTAGTGATCACTGCAATAGTTGGTGCATCCAGCTATGACTCTTGTCTGTTTGTGCTAACACTCTTGTGTTCAGTGCTAACACTCTTTCTGTGTTTCTTTTGCAGTGTTATTTGTACCTCTTCTACAGCTCCACGAGGAAGGTGAAGACGTTTGTACTCCTTTTCTCTGTTTGCTTATGCAATATTTACTTGTATGGATTACGGAATCTCTGGCAAATAGCCTTTCACATAGGAGTGGCATCTCTTTCCTCCTACCAGATACTGACCAGGCAACTTATGGAGAAACAACCTGACTGTGGAGTATGAAAAAGACTTTGGGTTTGCAATGCTCTTTTTACAATTTTTTTTTTTTTTAATTAAAATGGCCAAAAATAGCTTGGAGTATTTTTAAATATTTGTGACAATGGTTACTGCAAGGAGGATGTTCCAAAACAACATGAAATACAGTAGTATACTATCATAATGTCATTCACACAGTGAAGAATTCAGCTGTGTTCCACATGATGTGTGGTAATTGTGCATGGTAGATTTTGTCGGGTGTCATCAACGGGTCGAGGTTCTCCTTACCATAAACAGGCTCTTACTCCTTGACTAACACCATCCAGACAGCATTTTGCCATCTGTCTCGCTGGCTTTGTGACAGTTTGGCAGCCCAATGTCTTGGCCTGCCGATGCTTCTGAAAATATTAAAAACATTACAGTAAAGTGAAGGTAAAGTGGTGGGTAAGATTTTTGTCTCTAGAATTTATTAAACGTTAAGATTCTTGGTAAATGTAAGGAAAGGAGTAGTTTGCCATAGTTAGGTGAGTTCTTTATCGATGGGAAAAAGTGTTAGGATGAGATTCAGGGTATCTTTTTCCTGGGTTTTGAAGGAAAGGAAAAGACTGGCTTCTTTAAAAACCCTAGAGGCTATAAATATCTCCTGGCTAAACAGCACGCTGTCATTAACTGTGTACTTATTGTTTAATCCCAAATATGCTTAGGGCAGCATAAAATGAACCACGCAAACACAAGTGACCTTTCAGCTCAGGTGGCCTTTATTTCCTTGGTTAAGGTCACTCTCACTGTAAGGGCAATTCCATGTTTGCTTGGTCTGTACAGATAACAAACCTTCCAAGCCTCCTTATGACAGACCTTCACCTTTAGAACAAAGTATAGCTGTTCAGTTGAAAGCCATCTCCAGGAACGGAGAACAAGAGCAGGTTCTCTTTTTTTAATCTGAAACACCTTTAGTTAATGGTGTTGTTACACTAAGATGAATTTATGAGCGTGGAAGTTTGGATATAGTACTTAGGAGCTGAGTTTCTTCACTTCTGCTGCACTGGGTGTTCCTATATGTGATCAGAATCACGGAATGTGATACGGTTTGGCACATATATGAACATAGCAAAGCATAACATATATGAACAAAGCATAGCATTTTGATGCTGCTGTCCCTGAAGGATTGAAGACTCAAACTGAAAAGATACAGGGAACTGTAAGTGTGTTATTGTTCAACTGTGGGCATAGCTTTTTTTTTATTGTTGTTTTTTCTTATAAGCCTATTTCCTGGTGACCCCATTTCCATTTTCACCAAAGATATCTTTTCTTCTCTCATAATCTCTACCTCTGGTGGTTTCAGGGAGATTAGCACCATGCACAGCTGTCTTCCTGAGTTTGCAGGAACGCATGTCAGAATCACTTTCTCGCACATCTGTGAATTTCCCTGGAATCTCATCATGCCAGCATTGCTAGCATCAGTGGATTGCTAGACCAGAATTGTGCAGCACCTTGGAAGCACTTCTTTGTTGTTTCTGACTATAGCCTGCAGTCCATTATAACCTGAATGGTTTCTGAGACATCATGGTAGCAAAGTTTTTCAGAAGTAAAATAGAAGCATTTCTCTTCCATTTCATGCTAGCCAATTACTGTCACAATAAATAGTGAGTGCTTTAAAGTGCTCGGAAAGTATGTAGTAGAAATGATGGAGGAAGATTTTAGCCAGCCAGTTAGGAACACTGCTAAGGCCATGTGCTGGAAGGGGGTGGGTTAACATTGGTTCTCTGTTGTATGATCTGGCAGAAAACAGGAGCTAAGTGGAAGATGAAACCAGCATTGAGCCATTGTCCTTTTGGCACATGGGGGTCTCCACGGATATGGAGGTTTTAGAGCTGTCAAGCTTTAGGTTTCCATGCTGGTCAGTCCCAGTTTTACTTGGTGAGGTGCTCTTTCAGTGTAATTGGAGGCTGCAGGGAGCTAAGAAATACAGCTGGATTACAACTAATTCAAGTAATTATAAAGCAAACCAACAAAAAACCCAACCAGCCCAACCCTTGATCTCCCACTCTCCACACTGTCCCCAAAAAGCTTAAAGGCATGTAAAAAAAAAAAAAAAAAAAATCTCTACTAGGAATGAATGCTTTGCTAACCCAATCTGGTGGGGACAGCTGCACCCATGGGAGGGGATTGGAACTGGATGGGCTGTACAGTTTCTTCTAACCCTAGCTATGCTGTGAGTCTAAGGAAGATAGTGGATCTGACACGTTTTTGGTTGGCTAGGATGTGAACTGGCTATCAGCCTACTGGCTATCCGTGGGGAAAGAATAAAGCACTTCCTCAGTGACATCCTCAAACTCCCATTTTCTCCCCTTTTCACCTCCAGTCAGGCTTGAGTATCCAAAAGAGCCCTACTGGTTCTCCGTAGGCTTCAGTAAAGCTGGTTTGCTATCACATAAGGCATGCAGATCACAGCCAGGGCACGGGGCCAGGGAACCATTATCTTCTTTGTGTTCCACATCCCTGTATTTAGCTGATGGGAAGAAAGTGTAATGTTCCTGATGGCTCCTGAGCATCTGTTTGCTTTATCATAAAACAAATGCATCCCTGCGCCAGGTGATGTGAGCAGTAGCTCACTTCAGTGAGAAAGCTAGAACAAGGTGTTAAGACAGCTCTTGTAATTAACGTAATTAGAGTTGATAGAGATTAAACTCAGCCTTCCCTTCATCTTTTCTTCCTGAGAATGCTTTGTCAAATAAAATCAGTTGGTGCAATTCTACCTTCATGGAAATGCTTTTGTGGAATGGATGGAGGATGTGACTGGGTTTCTTCTGAGCAGACAAAGCTCTGGTTTGCTGTGAGGCTTAATCTCTTTACAACCTTTTAATTTTTCCTCGTTAAGCCATGTTAAAGAATCTGTGTGCATTCACGTGAGCATCATATCTGTGCACTTGGTAGGTGTGGGTTTTGATTTGGGTACAAGGAAAAGCAAACATTTGACCCAATTTTTGTTTTGTGTTGTTATTTAGAACAGCTTCTGTATCCACATGGCATTGACACAGTTAAACCTTTTCCTCCAGCCAAACAGCAGGAGGAACAGCATAGCTTACATTGATTTCAGTGCTTTAAGATTTAATAAAAAAGAATGACTTGCAGTTTGAGTACATAAAATCTGACTCATAGCGTGGGATTATGGCTGCGTTGAATCAAATCCCCAAACAGGAATCCATCCCTTTTTGTTCAAGCTGTTGAACGCAGGTTGACTTGTATCTCCTTAATGCTGTCAGTTTGTGAGTCCCTGGGAGGTTCTTCTCCTCGCCCAGCAGCACAGCGTGAGAAAATTGGCACAGAGAAAACTTCATTAATGTAAGGATTTGCAGTGCGTGGTCACTTTATGAACCCCATTTTCTGTTCTTTTTTTCTCCTAAATACCTGTTAAGTTTGTAGAAGGTGGGCTGGTACCTTTTTAGACGTTTTTGCACTGTGTTAATAATTGAACCTGTGTAAATGTGTATAAAATCATTTTGCATGTGTATGTATATATGTACATATCTAATAAATGGCTTTTTTTTTTTTTTTTTTGTAATGGATGCCTTCTTTTATAGTGCTGAAATAGCTGGTTATGCTGGAAGCAAGGCAGATGGGCTCTTTCAGTTTAGGATGCAGTAGTGTGGACATATCCAAAGTATCTCAAAGCTAAGCTCAGTGTAGTCATTGTCTTTCACAAACAGTTTCAGAAATTGGTGGTTTCGAATGCTCTCACAAGGTCTCCTGCATTGTGTGCAGTCTATGAGCAAAAAGCAGCTTTTGTTTTGATTTGGGTAACTGTTAGATGCAGTTATCCACACACTGAAGATTCATTAGTTGAACTGTATAAAAAACATGTACAGGAACTTGCTTTTTCAAGCAGCAGGTCGCAGCAGGCTGTGATATCATCTGTCATTAACAATCTTGCTCTTTCTTTGCAGAGACCACATTGCAGAGGCTTTTCCTACTACCCCTGCATTCTGAAATACTGAATTATTCGAAGTCTGATGTAGCAAAGTCCTGTCAGTCCATTTCCAGCTGCTTGGCAGAGAAAATCAGAGTTCTGCAGATAGCTGCTCAGTTTTAGCCTGGTCTGTGAATTGAATCACATCTGACCTTGTCCTACCTGTCAGCCCCTGCTAAGAGCTTGTGGATAAGTAAAATATAAAATAATAAAATATGTTTTTTTATTTCAGCCACCTTTGATAGAGGCTCCGAAAACAACCTCATCAGGCTTTGTTGAAAGGGATGAGTGAATGTGACAGAAAGTTCAGCATTCCCACTGTCTGCAGGCTCAAGTATCAGTGAGTTAGCTTTGGGAGGGTGGTGCTTTTGAATGGCATGACTCAATGGGAATACCTTTTGGACCACCAGGAGCCAAAGAATCTCACAAAAATCACAAAGCTGGAAGAAGCCAGGCATGCACCCTTGTGCTGATGTCTTCCCATTCCTTAGCAGGCTCCATACCTGGCAGTCAAGAAGGCAGCTGTAAGAAAAGCAGGTTTCAGAGAACTGCAGGTTCATTTTTGTTACTCCTCTGCTACAAAGGTACATCCCTCTCTTTGCAGTGACTTGACTGTTCCCCTCAAAGCATGCTTGGATGCTGGCTCAAGGCGCTGACATGTCAGCAGTACATCTGAGGTGGTAACAGTGCTGCAGCGCTGAAAAGAGACAGAGGAGCCCGCGTGTGCCCCTGTAATGAGGGAAGAGGCAGCACAGTGGGTTGTGCAGACAGTAGGTGGTAAAAAGCAAACGCTGACAGTGCGGGAGGGCGGAAGGAACCTTATTCTCAACTGCTCTGCCCTTTGAGGGCTGAGAGATGTTATTTTTGTTCTGTAAACAAGCAGTTGCTCAAAGCATCTTTCTTCTCTGGATGCCAGGGGAGAAGAACAGCAGCTTTACCCTTTTTTTTTTTTTTTTTTCTTTCTAAGGTGAAGGGAGAAAGCAATTATAACTCCCTTTTTCTTTGAAGATGCTGATAAAAGGAGGCGGGCGGATCAGAGGGTCCCTGTGCCAAAAAGAAACAGTTCCTGAGGTGATAGAAATGCATGTTTTTGTTTTAAAAAGACTAACTCGACTTCTGCTGTATGCCGGCTTACAAATGTGACCCAATTGCATCCCAAAACTTTGAGGAGGGAGGGAAGGAAACAGCAGCTACGAGAAAAAGGTCAGCTCTGTCCTCACGTGTGCTGCCTCTGTGTGAAGGTGCACCACAGAATCCAGCAATGGTTGGGTTGGAAGGGACATCAGAGGTCATACAGACCCAACCCCTGCCCTGGGCTGGTTGCTCCCACTGGGCCAGGCTGTTCAGAGCCCATCCAGCCTGGCCTGGGGCACCTCCTGGGGTGGGATGGGTACCTCTGGGTTGTCTGCCAATAAACTTCTACTCGAGGTGTTTGGAGAATGTTTTGGAATATCGTGTTGTTAGGAAATGAAAGTGTGCTTCAGCTTTCTGGGGCTGTGGGTGGAACTAATTAACCCTCTTCCCCACACGTTGTCTTTTCCAACTGGCTTAACAAAGAGAGAACTGAAATCTGATCAGTTCATTTGTTTGCAGTACTGTGTTTCATCTCAAAAAGCACTGCTCTGGAAAAAAAAATGGGGACCTTAGAGTGAGAATGAATGATTTCTGCCTACGTGTGCCATGCTGTGAGTGTAATATTATTCACTTGTATCCATCAGCTACTTTGGGGAGACCTGATGGCTGCTGCTCTGCGGGCAGGCAGAAAAAAGATCACGTCCCTTCCCTTGGTCTGACCCACACCAGTAAGGCAGCAGCTTTTCTTTAAATTCTTGGTGAATATCAGCATGAATTTGCACTTCTGTGTCTTTAATAATTAGCTTAAGCCAATTGATCAGTCTAGTAGGAGGTGTGATTCCCCATCCCTAAAACTGCAGGTCTTTCCCTTGAGTAGTTTCTAGCTCCTTTTTCTAGCTAGAAATGCTAATTTTAACTACTACAGAACCATTTTTAAGGTTGTTAAATGGTAACAGGAAATGAGCTCTTTAAAGTCTTTTCTTTCTACTCCTATGTAAGCTATGAGATTAGCAAAGCACAGAAGCACATTGAATTCCCTTTGGTGGAATAAGTCTCGTTCATATAAGAATGATAAGGCCTGAAATAATGACCATTAAAAGGTAAAGCACCAGTTGGTACAGCATTACATACAGCCATCGAGGCCCGAGATTTATTCTTTCATTATGCAAGGAAAGACATGAATTTAGAAAATCCCTCATTTCATGAGCTTTTTTAGGGAAAAAAGCAATTATGTGGAAAGTTCAGCTCTGAAATACATTAGTGCTCATTGGTATGCACCATGCAAAACACAACAGAGGCCTTCCAGGAGGTGCTGCCTCCTTCTGCGTGCTTTGGCTGAGCACTGAGGGAGCAGATCTGGTGCAGTGAGCTCCAAACTATCTGTATTTGCCTTCTAGATGGCAACCTTAGCCTTGACAGCATGGTTTTGAGGGCAGGGCTTGCAGTGGCTCTGCCTCATGTTGGGTTTTGCTGTATCAGGTGTGATTTGAACTTAGGTGCAACATCAAGCACGTGTGAGTTGAAGAAGGTTGGGCATCTGTCTCAGGCATGGCCTGGAACTGGAGCATCCTTCCCAAATGTGGGACTCTTCCCAAGGTAAAACTTTCTACTTTCACATGTTTAATACACATGAGAAACTCCCAGCTCACAGAACAGAAACCTCTGGAGCTTGAGACATCTTGGCAGCATGGTCAAACTGTGCTGCTGTTGGACTTGCAAGCCAAGACTCCCCCAGTGTGTCCTGCACTGCTGCTCTCCATCCAGCCCATGTGCTTTCAAGTCACCGGATCATTTTTCTCCCCTTGCCTTGAAGCTTCTTGCTGAGGCTCGTTTGCAGATGTTGGGGTTGGAGGGAGCAGCTCTGTGCTCTGGTGGTTAATAGCTGAACCGTGTAAAGAGAAGCTGTGCAAGCTCTGTTCCAAGACTTTCATGCCCTGGTTATGTTCCCCGTGCTCACACAGGATCTCCTGATTCCCCCATGTGTGAGCAGGAATGCAGCGAGAAGAAATTGGAACTGAAATGAAAAAAAAAAAAAAAGTAAAATAAAATGAAAGGACTTCAGTGTGACTCCTCTCTGCTGCTCTCTTCGCAGACACTGGGAGGCAGCAGAGCACAGGCTAAGACTGTGCTCAGGCTGGGAGAGAGGCCAGGGAACCTGCCCAACTTTCTACCTGCTTGTATGAACGCTACGGTTCTCCAGGTAGCTTTTGCAAAACAGAGATAAAACACCCTGGAGACAGCAGGGGATGCAAATCCACTTACCTAGCGAGGCTGGAACCAATTTGTCAAAAGCGAAGTCATCTTGTTTTCTTTTTTGCCTCCCTCGTCCTTAAGGAGCAAAGCATGATGCTTTGTGCTAAACATTGGCTCTGCTGTTCTGAGCTTCGGGGCTTTGTTCTCAGACTGAAGGGTTTTGGAAGGAACTGGAGGTTTTAGGAGAGGAGAATCCAGTGGCTTAATTAGCGACAAGTCTGGAGGCATGCATGCATGCAGACGCTGCTGGTGCTTAATCCACCTGCTCGGAAAGTTAAGTTGGAAGGAAAGGCATCTGAGGCAAAGCCTCATTTCTGAAGCTTTGCTAATTAGTGGAAAATGGTGATGCTACGACCTCTTCTTCCTCTTGTCTTTTTGCTGGCAGCAGTGCTGATCACAGTGTCCCCCCCCTTGTGATTGCAGGGGAGCTCAGATGGGTGTAAGAAGGCAGCATGGGGCCATAAGGGATAAATGGACAACAAAGAGGCAGATAAGGACAGGAACTGGGACACGCGGACCCTGATGCTGTCTGCTCCATCACCATCCCACATCCAAGATGCCCAAGCTCCCTGGGGGTTCATGGAGGCAGAGGTAACATTGGGCACTTCTTCCTGGAGAAACACGTGTGCTTGCAAAAGGAGATGGCACTGCTCACTGCCAGGGCTGGGCTGGAAAAACAGGATGGATTTTGCCGGCGGTAAATCAGCGGCAGTTAGGGGTTGAGGAGATGCCTGGCTGGGGAGGAAAGCCATGGTGGAAGCTGCCACTGACTACCACCCCGCTGCAAAGGGGTCAGCTGAAGTTTCTGGGCTTGCTAGACAAATCCTGGGCCCCCAAGTGCACTCATGCACTGTGTAGATCAGATACACTCATCCACTGGTGCCTTGCTCTGAAAGCACTCTCTGGGTTGCTCGGAGGGTCTGGTGGCCATAATCAGGGATTGCTGGAGTGGCAGAGGGTCATTGCTGCAGGGTAATTGCTCCTGCCTGGCTAAGGAACGATGAAGACATCTGAGTTTCCCATGGGAATGATTCCCTTTGGGAATGGCCCTCTGTGAGCCAAGAACACCAGCTCATGACCCAGTGTTCACTGCAGTAGCTCAGATGTGAGCCTAGAACTGAACTCCTGGTCAGTGACCCAATGGGAACATTCTCTGTTGTGACAGCTGCCAGTTGCCTTCTCACTAGGTTTAACCAGAAGCAATCCAACCTGGAATTGCAGCTGATGTGTGGATGACAGC